TATATAAATCAATGGCTTTATCTGATTTTGTGGGGGTCAAAAGCATAATTCTTACTCGCTTGCATTACAATGAAAATCGGGATTTAAACCTGCAAGTCTTATTTGGGGCTTTTGGCAAGTAGCCAGTGCAGGCCTCTATTAGAAAGTCTTGCCTTAGTACAGCAGCAGCTAAACCCTTCCTTTTGACTCCCCTCCGACCTCAGGGCATGTCTCATTAGCAGATTAAGTCCAGAGTTAAACGAGTCCTCTGGGAGTGGAGGATGCAGTGTCTACTGAGCCTGCCACTCCAGCCAAAATGATTTTCCTAAGGCCAGATAAGGAGTTCTCTGACTTGCCAGAGGGGAGAAGATCTAGAGATAAGGTTTGTTTTGTAAAAATCTGCCCATGAATAAATCCTGGGAAAATCTGCACTAAGCTGTGACGTCACAGCCCTTACCTACTTTAAAGTTAATGAAGAGGAGGGCGTGTTAAGTTCCTCTGTCACCATAAATCTATTCCTTCCTATGTCCGATGGTAGGAAGACTCCTACCCTGCTGCCCGGGCTCTCATCACCTCTGGCTGGCAGCCTGGAGCATAAGCGATTGCTTTAACATTCCACCTGCCTCCCTGACTGCCAACCTCTGGGGTCACCCAGAGGTAACCGCAGGCCAGGAAGGCTCCCGGAGCGGCCTGCCGCAGCGGGGATTAACCGCCTCACTGGGCTGTTGCCCTCGACAATTTTCTGGTCAGTAACTTTTTGAAAGGAGAGCGTGTCTAGTGCGGTAGGGACGGGCAGGCAGGAGAGGATGACGAGAGATGAAGGGGGAGAAGAAATAGTGGCTGGATTCTTTCCAGGATGGAAAACTGTCTGTCCAAGAACCTCTCCAAAACACAAATTAAATATTCCTCTATCCACCAGTAAATTACCGTGAATGGGTGGCTGTGCAACATCCTGACAGGCTGTGTAATAAGGAACACCGTGCCTCTTTTCTCCTTTATTCCTCTGCATTTTCCTCTGTCCCAGACAGGAACTTCCGTGTCTGTAAGAGTCATTCTCTCCAGGACTTAGTCTCCAGTTGGGACACACTTACTGCCAATTTAGAATTAAACTTAAAAAGGAAAGGGGATACAGACCAGACTCCGAGACGCATGTCTGCATACTGAAAATTGTGATTCCTAGTAAGATGGACCGTTTCCTACACTGCAGATCTAGACTCCTGACAAATGCAGAGCCCTCAAATCCTAATTGGGGCAGGATAAAGCGAAATGATGCCTTTCTTGATGTTGACTGAGCAAAGAATAAAGTGAGAGTTCCTTACATGCTTGCTTGCATATAAAGGGAAGTGAAGTGCCAACTGCGCAGCTTTAGGCTAACTGGAGCTCTTGGGACATGAGTGAGCCCAGGCCCACAATCATTCAGCAGTTCAACAGTGAGCAAAAGTTTTTGTTCAGGAACATTGAGAACGTGCATGATTGACTCTTAAGCTGTCTAGTTGAATGGTTTAGTGAGAATGTTACAAATAATGCAACCTTATGAACGCCAAACAGCAAATTGTCAAATTGCAGCTTCTGCAGGAGGTGAATTCAGGAAAGCAGAAGGCTAGTGAGTAGGTTTATAGAAATCTCAGGAGGAAATAGTAGAGTAAGGACCTAGAAAAATATTGGTGAAACTGCTGCAAGCAAGGAAAGAAGTATTGCCTACACAGAAACACTAAGCCAAAGCCCTCTGTAAATACAGAGTTCAGGAGCAACAGAAGCCTCAACTATGAGGCTAATGCAGCAGCTAAAGTCCTGTCTCTCTGTAAGATCTGATATCCTAGGAGGCCAGAGGGAAGCCCGTGCCAATGTAGTTTGGCCAGATATAAGAGAGAAATTGAAAGTCTCATAAGATCTTGTAGGAGCAGTCAAGCTTGAATTTGGACCAAAAGCATGTTGTACTGAGTTTTGAGTTTTATCCATCTGTAAAAAGTAGCAGAAATGACGGCAGGAAACCTCACTCCCACTGTGTCGTTAGGGAACTTTCACCTCTCACGAAAGAATGGTCTTTTATTTACTGCTTTTCTCTTACGCAGGCTGAAGCCTTCACCTGAGTGTGAACAGTATCAAGGACATGAAAACTTCTCATGGAAAAAATTCAGTACTGAAGTTAATGCTGTCAGCAGGATAACCAGCACATTCTGTCTTCCCCAGATGGCCCAGATTTTAATGGGGTCACCTTGCAAGACTTGCCTTGTAGGATATTAAGGGTCCCAAAGTAACTGTTGGGGCATAAAAAATGTTATGTCCAAGAGTTGCATCACAGGCAGATGTTCCTTTGACAGGTTGTCCTTTGCTTAACTATTCGTCCATGTATATTTTCTGACATTCAATGCATCAGTGGCAACTCTTGGGAGTAGGAGGCTGTATGGATGTTTGAAACAGATTAAAGTGAAGAGTGAGTGATCTACTTTTTATTTTGCAATAGCAGTGTGAAACCCTAGAGCGCGAGGTATGCGAGGTCAGTTTCTTGCCTTATTCCCCTTGTCTGACACCTTATTTCTCTTTCTCTCTTTTTCCTCGCCTACCTTCCATCACTCTTCAACTTGTCAGTTAATTTTTTAGTGTCTGCATTTGACTGATTCAATCCTGCTCAGAGATTGAGGTTCACACTGATGCAAACTCTGTGGGCATCAAACTTGATGCTTACGGTTGACATTTTGTAGTGTTTTTCCTCCCGTTTCCACAGAGATGTAGGTTGTGAAAGAGAGAGCGAGTTAAATGTGTATAGTTGGACAGTATTTTGTAAATATTTCCTGAAAGCTTGTGAAATTTCTCACATGTTCTTGATTTCCCTTCAAGTCTGCAGAGTAGGCATAAGAAATAATCACCCAGTCTAGCTCTGAGTTCCGAAGTGAGTAAATAGCCATCAGTTTTACAAGCTTTGTGTAGATGCCAAAGCCTGATGGCCAAGGGTGATATGCTGAGACTTTCGAAGACGGGCCAATACACAAGCCACATTTTTAGCTGTATGCTTTCTTACAGTTTTTAAGTCTTGTCGGAGCTTTTTCCTTGAAAATTAGTTCCCTTGAGATGAGATTTCCCATGAAATGGCTCTGGCATATTTATACATGCTCTGAAGTTTCTGGTTAACCAACTTGTTAGTCCTTTGGTGATTTTGAAAATATAAGTCTATCAGTCTGTGTGTGTTTATATGTTCATAGATGTGCCAATGCTTTATTAAGGGGATTAATTGTAAATTTAACTAATTTAGGAAATGGTTGAGGACCTAGGTACTTCTGCATTGCTTAGTTGCACTGGAAGAGCTCTTTGACCCTGCCAGAGATTAGTTTTAGTACCTGTTACAAGATGAGATTAACTAGTCCTTAAAAATAAGCATGTTAAAGGTCTCCGCAAGAGATTTGTTGTGGGGAGGGAATACCACAGGTCCTAAATCTTTGTTTATCTTGCTGTTACTAAGTTAATTGAGTGATATAATTTAGACTTTTTTCCTGTTCTTTCAACTTTTGGAAAACTCAAATATTATTAAATCTTTCAAGTTTAAGTGTGCTTATTTTTAACCATTAAAAAATCAATATGCCAGTCAGATCCATACTCAATACACAGTGGTATGGGAAGCAACTGTAATCCTGGGTCCCAGGTGGTAAGGCCACTGCTTGGAAATGGCACCGTTCTGAGAGCAACAAAGCTGTTTCCATTTGCAAAGCCCATTTTCCCAGTCCCCTGATCAGAGTAAACGTGCATTTGATGCTGTGAATGTCCTCCTCATTTATTTTTTAGTCCTAAATAGTAATTTTGCATTATCAGTGCTGACACCTGCAATTGTGAACAGTAGCAACCTTTTCTTCTTTCTCTTTTGGATCTTGCTGTTTGACTCACAGAGCAGTCAACTGATTTCAGTGACATACTCCATTCAGTAATTTATTTTTTGCAGAATGACAAGTGACTTACCATATGTAACGCGATGAATGCTGAGGAGACTTAGATTTATTCGTGTATAGATGTCTAGGTAACAGAGACATGAAATTACATTCCTTCCAGTAGTCTTAAAAGAAATAGAAAATAAGATTATATACTAGGAAAAAAATATTTTGGTTAAATCTGTTTAGCTGTAGATTAATGTTTGAAAGACAGTGGTGGAAGCACCATCTCATCCTTTGAGACTAATATTGTTGTCTCACTAGGAAAAATCACACTTGATAAAGCCCCTCAGTGAGAGTTAATGAACCTGGTAACTTTTAAAGTTATTTCTATTTCTGACCTCCATGATGGTGTAGAAGTGCAGACTGGGTTGTGCTGGTTATGTCTTCATATATATCAAATCCATGCTATATGATATTCAGAATTGTTCTTTGCACAAGAAGTATTGCATCTTTTTTACTGTTAAATGGGAGTGGCAAGTGAAATCTTGCATATATCATTTGCAAAATAAATTCATGCTTGAAATTTCTCACTTTAAATGTCTGTATTAGGATGAACCTCTTCTTTGAAATGCACTTAGGACACCAGCCTGCGAACAGCATTGCAAATAGTTACATAGGATATGCTGAAAAAATACATTTTACTGCAGAGCAGATACTATCTCCAAATGTAGAACAAGAAGTAGATAACATACCAGATATATGGGAAGGTCTGTGATTTTAGAATAAATTTATCTTTCTCTGTGCGTGTATAGCAAAAGCAGGGATATATTTGGAATTTCACGATACAGAAAATTTGCCAAGTGTTTAATATATTTGTCGTGTTAGTCTAAAGATCTGATTTCTTTGTCTTAGCTGTAGTGTTGCTTTTAAAGAACCTGTAAATGGAGCATGAGCAGTGGGATACAACTACCACCATGATACTCAAGTCCCATCCCTGTGTAAGAGAAAAGCATTGTTAGTCTTAAATGAAACAATGCAACAGGGCTGGCAGTGAAATGACATCAAAGATGTTCATCAAATTGTTGAAATTAGAAGCATGTTTTAATTATTTCAGATTTGAAGCAGAAGCGGTTTGACTCTAACAAAAGTTTCTTGCTGCAGATCATCCTGTGGGGTCGAACTGAGAAATGCCTGAAGGAGACCACAGAGGAAATCAGGATGATGGGGACAGAATGCCATTATTTCATTTGTGATGTAGGAAATCGAGAGGAGGTCTATCAGCAAGCCAAAGCTGTGCGGGAAAAGGTTAGTGTCTGTGGAAACACTGTTTGTAGGCAGAGTTTAGTAACAACTTGTACTTGATGAGGAAAAAATAAATATATTGGCAAATTGGGAAAAAAGAAGGGTGACCATCCAGATAACGTTGTACAAAGTCTAGCTACCTGTTTTAAGTGATCTAGAAGGATTACAAGGCCTATAGGCAAGAACATCAAAAGCTATGAATAATAATGTATTTAAGCACTAATAGATATTCAAATATAATGGTGACTGCTGATCTGTTACTTGTAACAAGTAATTTGCTTTTTTTGCAGGTGGGTGATATCACTATCCTGGTGAACAATGCTGCTGTGGTCCATGGTAAGAGCCTGATGGACAGTGATGATGATGCACTGCTCAAATCACAACATATTAACACCCTGGGACAGTTCTGGGTAAGATAAGCTCTTGTATCATGTGTATTCAGAATTGGGAATGAATGTGACAGATTATAGCCAGTGCACACTTGGCTGCTAGGTCTTTCTAAATGATGCTTGGTAAAATCAGTCTGATATGAAAAGGAGACAGAAAAAACAATGTGAGGGGGAACGGCCAGAGGAATCAAGTCTAAAAAAATTTTAATTTTTCTAGTAGTAACACAGTATTTGATGTTCTTGTATCTCCATTCTGTGATTTCCAGTAAAACATTTGATTTCTTTCAAGAAATCTTCTGTGAGCTCAGGCTGGTTTTCTGCACAGTGATGTGTATGCAACACAAGAGGAGCATGAGACTACGTTGCTGAAGGAAGGAAGCTAGTGTGAAATGCATTCCATTTTTAATTAGATAATAGTAATAAAAAGAGCTGCTTGTGATTTCATCATTTTGTTGAAGACTTTGTCCTCTAGAAGAAGTTCTTAAACATACAAAGCATTCTGTTCACAGCCTTTATCTGTGGATACTGCTTACTTACATGCTAGGAAGGATTTTGTTCTGTTTCTGCACAAACTTTGCCTGTTCAGAATCTTTTAGAAAATGACAAAGCACCAAGGTACTCTCCCACTCCTTCCCTAGTGTAATGAACAGCACAGTTTGGCTCGTTGTCTCTGT